CACCCCGGTGTGGCTGGCTTCCTGATTCTCTCACCACATCCTGAGCACAGCTCTGGCAGGTCCCCAGGCCCAGTGTTCCCACTCAGTACCACCAGCCTTCCGGCCCCCACCCCAGGCTTCCTGTTTGGAAGGTCTGCTTCCGCCCCTCCTATTTGATGACCTAGGTATGGTCACCATCAACAGGGCCTGCTCTGCACTGGGTTCCTCGGCTTCCCCCAGATGGTTCCTAGGCTCGGGCCACAAAGCCCTATGTCGCCGCCCTCTGCTCATTTCCCAAAGACACAAGGCAGCCTCAGTAGGAAGCGACTTTTCTAAGCGCCTCGCCCTGGGAGAAGTTCCTGAGAGGAGAGGGCCAATAGCAGTTTGAGGGCTCAGGGTACATACGCTCTTAGGACCACCCCTGGAGCTTCAGTGAAGCTGGGACAGAGGCGAGAGGACAGAAGTCACATTCAGACATTGCTACAATGAAAATGAGCATTCTGCACATAGACTAAAAACAACAAGATGAACTGGGAGCAACCACGTGACCCCGATCTTTGGTCTTCACCGTTTCCCACCGACACCAAACAGACACAGTTAAATAGAATAAGGAGGGGCAGGCTGCACAGGCCCTGGGAAGATGCATGCTGGTTGGGCGGAAGACTTTCTTTCTGGTCTGAGACACCTGAGTGTAAGCACTGTTCTTCCCCAGAGAGTTTTTACTGAGGAAACCGATTGGAGCAGAGGAGGAAGGTGCTGGGCCAGGACAGAGGGAGAAGTTATCCTGTCCAGTGTTTCCTTGTATGTCTACATTCCAGTGTAACCTCTGACCTCTGCTGGCCCCAGCTCCACCCCTGCCCCCAACTCCCACAGTGCCTGAGCCAGTCTCTCTGCTCAGTTCAGTGCAAATGAACTTCTCTCTTTTTCTACCCCAAGGGGAGGGAGAGGCCAGGGTAGGAGGGACAGAGGGGAAAACCAAGGCTGAGCCAGTTCTGTGGGGGAGGGGACGCCCAGGGAGGAAAGATGGGGGAAGGGACTGGGATATTTTGGAAGAGGAGAAGGCTTTTCTTGTCCCCAGAGAGAAGGAAGCACTGTCTAACATTGGCCCAGTTGGGGGGACAGACAACCCTGAGGTCACCCACTTCAAATGGCGTCTGTATGCCTCTGCTGGGGAGGGGGGTAGCTAACTTGGGGTCTAAAAGCTTTCTGTCTGCTCTTCAGCCAGCTCTGCTCTATCTCACTAGGCTCTCTCCTCAGGACGTTCTCGTTCAGTTCTGCCCCTTCTTTCTTGGAACTGAGACCCTCACCCCAACTTCCCTGAACTTCTCCCCTCCACGTCTGCCCTCCCGGGTATTTTCACCCTGCCTTCATGGTTACAAGGTGGTTATCTCTTCTCTCCTACCAGAAGGGCCTGGCTGGGTCAAAACCTCAGAGACAGAGAGAGAGAGAGAGAGAGAGAGAGAGAGAGAGAGAGAGAGAGACTGAGAAGGAACAGGGCCGGACACACCCCAACACAGCAGTTGACTTCTGTGCAGAATCCTTGGTGCTCCCAAATGAATGGCAAAGGAGGGCTACCCGGAGGAAGGGTGTGTATGCAGGAGGAGGAAGGGAGGCGGCAGGGATAAAAAATAGAAGACGAGAGCGCAGGCATATAAAAAAGCCATCCAGTCAGAGCTGGAAGGAGACTTCTCTACCCAGTCAGGCGTGGCAGCTTTCTTACCTGTTTGTGATGTCTTTCCGGGGACCCCTTGGCAAGGCAGCTGCGGCTGAGACGGAGGTAGCCCCCCAGCACCAAGATTTCCTCAGCAGTTGGGTACCGCTTCTTCCCGGGTCCAGGCCCTGCAGCATCAGCGGTGGCAGGGGTGGCCGGAGGGGCTGGGCTGGCAGGGGGCACACACCTCCGTGGGTTGACAGTGAAGGTGTGTCCGCTGCGGCGGGGGGCCCCCACCCCCGGCCCTGCCTTCACTCCATAGAACAGACGGCTCATGAGGGGATCCCCGGGGGGCTGGGGGGCAGTTGGGGCTGGGGGTGGGGGAGACAGAGGGGCTGGTGTTGGGGTCCGCGGTTCCACTGCTTCCTCTTCCTGTTGTCTGGAGCCTTCCGTCCCGGCCCCTGCGTGCTCCGGTGGGAGGGGGGAGGGCCCAGAGCAGAGGTTCTGCTGAGCTCTCAGAGGCCTGCTCTGAGCCTCCGCCTCCTCCGTCTCAGCCTCCCTCTCAGCCTCCACACCAGACTGCCCCAGGTGTTTCTCTGGAGATGCTGGAGGACCTGGCTTCTGAGGAGTCTCTATGTCCCGAGACGCCCGTTCTCGAGCCTTCCCAGAGTTCAGGGTCCATTTCCAGCCCTCAGTGGGCCTGGAGATCCTGTCTCCATCCTCCGCGGGGCTGGACCTCAGCTCAGCAGACTGCACTTCTCCAGAGGCGGTGTCTTGAACCTCCTTTGTCACTGGAGACTGGTCTAGGGCAATCCCTGGACTCAGTGTCTCTTCCTTTCTTCCAGACTCCTCTAAGTAGTCTTTTCTCTCTTCCCTTGAGTTCAGCCTCCACTCTGCGGCCTCCGGCTGTATCAAGCTCTGTTTCTGGGGTTCTTTCGGGTCAAGATTCCATTTATGGGCCTCAGGCAGGCAGGCCTTCTGGTCACCAGACTCCCCCAGGCTCAGTCTGCTTTCCGATACCTCTTTTCTCTTGGGACTGTGGTCTCCAGGACTTGCCAATCTCAGACTCTCCTCTGGAGTTTCTCCAGGGCTCAGCCTCCATTTCTGAGCCTCTGCTGGTCTGGAACTCAGGTCTCTGGCTTCTGCAGGGCTCTGCCTCCAGTCTCCACTCTCCAAAGTCCTGGAGCATGACTCTTGGGCTCCCCCTATCACCAGCCTCCTATCTCTGGTCTCCCTGGGACTTAGTCTCTCCTCTCTTGACTCTCTTCCCTTGGGGCTCTGTTCTCTTAAATTACCAGGACTTGATCTCCGCTCTGCAGCCTCGAGAGGCCCGGGCTTTCTATCTGCAAGCATTTCATTTCGCTGCTGCAGCTCCTGCTGCCGCTGTCGCTCCTGCTGGATGAATCGGTTCTGATGTACCGGCCCAATGGCCTCCAAGAGGACAGCGGGTTCATCTGGGTCTGGAGGTCCAGCCTCTGCAGTCCCAGACACAGAGCTCGCCTCTCCAGGAGGCAGGCCCAACTTGGCTCTGCGTCGTTCCAGAATCCCCCGCTTCCAGGCTGGCATCTGGGACAGGCGATCCCGTTCTGCTTTCTCACGGCCACGAACCGCTGCCTCCTCCTGCCTCCGCCGGGCTAGCAACTGTAGCTTCCAGTCTGGGATAGCGGTCATGGTCACTGGAAGTGAGGAAGGAGAGAGCACTCGGGGACGGAACAGGAAGGGTAGGCTTCGGAGGGGCCCGGCGACTGAGAATGGGGGTGGAGGAGGAGGAGGAAGTGATGCGGGAAGAGACTTAAGAGCAGAGGGCAGTGGAGCTAAGGATGAAGAGAGAGGGAAACCGGGAGAGGAGGGAGGGCAGAAGAGGCAAGAACTGGAAAAGTGAAGAGCAAAGCTGGGTGCCAAGTTGGGGGTGGGGATAATGGGAGAGGAAGAGTCGAGATTCCGGGCAGAGGCAGCGCCAGATTGGGGGTTAGTGGGCACCAGATAGTCCCTAAGACATGAGAAAGGGAGGGAAGGAAAAGCAGGGGAGAGGAGAAGACGGGGATGGGGGCTGAGAAGTGAGCGCGTTCAGTCCAGGCTGCCTCCCCGGTACCCAGGGGAGACAAGTGGGAAGGAAGAACCGGGAACCGGCCGGCGAGGGGGCAAGGGGTCGGGGGAGGGGATGTGAGAAGCTGAGGA